TCGTCGTTGTTCTTCTTGTTGTCATCGTCGTTGTTGTCGGCATCATTGTCATCATCATCGTCGTCGTCGTTCTTCTTCTTCTTCTTCTTCTTCTTCTTCTTCTTCTTCTTCTTCTTCTTCTTCTTCTTCTTCTTCTTCTTCTTCTCCTTCTTCTCCTCCTCCTCCTCCCCCGTCTCCTCCTCCTGCTGCTTCTTCTTCTTTGTCTTTGTTGCTGTCATCTCCATTTTCTTCTTTTGTGTGCTGCTCTGGGTGTTTCTTTGGTTCCACCTCTGCCTCCCGTTTTCCCTGAACATCCCCTCAGAGGTGTTTTTTCTATTCTAGCATGTGTTGCATACCCTGACGGTTGGCGCCCCTTGACTGGTTGGCTGCCGACCAGCTGACCGGTCGGCTGGTCGGCACCTACTGGTCGGGGGTCGTCAGCACCCCGCAAAATAAAATAGAATAAAACATTCTGGGAGTCCGTAACCCCCAATAAACCCACCAACACCCCCAACACCCCCAACAACCCCAACACCCCCATACACCTCCCCAACACCTCCAAACCGGCCCCCAACACTGTTTGCATCTCCTCTCTTTCTCCTTCATTGCTGTCTGTGATTTACCGATTAACATTGCCTTTCTTTCTCGGAGTCCTGGGAGTCCTGGCAGCTTGCAACCTGGTTCAGATTCTTCTCCCCATTCCCATTACTGTTTGTTGCCTGCACGCAGTCCTCGACACAGCCGATCATGTCTGGTCCATTGATGTTAGACAATGTACGATCACAACGGTTTGCCTTCCCTGTACTTTCGGTTTCTTGGTGGACAGGTGGAAGAGAGGCTACAGGACTATGATGCGAAGCGCAGCACTGGTTATCTTTGCGCTGCGACAACAGATGACTTTGAGCAGGTGATGATTTTTTTTTTGTTGTGTTTTGTTTTGTTTTTTCCCAAACAACATGAGCCCCATCTATTCTTGGGGGTGGAAGTCTGGTTGTTTATCACCGGCAAGCATGGATCACAGAAAAAATGGCAGAAGAGATAAGCACGGCCCTGAACCCCTGTCGCCCTAAAGGCGATGCAGGGGGGTTGTAGGGGCTGCACAGGTTCACATACCTGTAACCACCTGGGGCTCGCATAATGGCCGGGAGAACTTGACTCAGTACCCAGACACATAATATGCAGGTCCCGGTGAGCAGGTTAGGGGCCCCGAGCAGGCTCTTCAGTCTCTGGACCAGCCCTCACACATACCAACCATCTCCAAGCACCATTGTTCCCGCTATTCACTTTTCACCCCTGCTTCTACAAGTACCCTCCTTTCATCAAGATTCCATCGCTAAAACCCCTCATCTTCCCCACTTATCCTTCACTTCTCACCTTCCCTGTTGACCGCTAGCTACCCATCTACATGAACCCGTAGCTGCCTCATCCCTACCTGCCAATATACCATATGGTTCCCCTAGATATCATTACCGAAGTCAATCTCTCTCTTTCTCGGCATTTCCAATCTCCCAGTTTTTCTTTTTACACTCCTTTTGTGCTCCACCCACTACCCTACCCCCACCCCCCATTTCTCTCTATTATGCAGTCACTTTCTGGAGTTGTCCAACCGTACGTCTAGCTATTGTACAAAGTGACTTGGACACTATTCCTCCACGTCCACTACATATTTCTGCTGGGTTGAGCCAAGAAGCAGCCTGTCCGTCACGGGGTCTTTCTAACCAAGTTTGGATATTTTCCATGGTTTCCCCGGACCCGGACAACCGGACACAGACACCGGACCCGTGTCTGGATTATACCGGATGTCCGGTTAACCGGACATCTAACCAGACATCCGGACATCTGGACCCGGACAGTCCAGTTTGGTGTATCAGTGTCCGGTTGTCCGGGAAGAAAAAAAAAAAACAGGACACGTACACAGACACACACAGGTTTGTGGGACTGGTTGGACATGCTAATAAATTAATTATTAATCATATTGGAAATATTCAGTTTATTAACGCCCGAAGTTCTCCGAAACTCAAAGTTCGGAACTTGGAATCTTGAACCGGCACACATGACACAAACACACGTACACACAGCAAAGTTCCACACCCGCTCCAACCCCCAAGTATCCTGCCTCAGTCTGTTGACTCTGATTGTTTGCGTTTCTTGAGTGCAAGCGGCCCTTCCTCGGAATCAAAGGCGTCCCTCTCCCGGCCCTCCGCACCATTCCCGCCAGTTCCGCCGATCTCCTCCATTGCAGCAGTTTCCTCCTTCGCGACCTTGAGTGGTCTCCCCGGCTTGCGTTTCACCGGTTTGGGTGCGGCACTAGCGGGCTGCTCTTGGGAGTCACAGTATTCCTCCTCCGCAACATTCTCATTGGCCCCACCACTTTCCTCGATTGCAGCCCCCTCCTCCACAACCTTCCGTGGCCTCCCTGGTTTACATTTGGCCGGTTTCGGTGCTGCTACTGTGCTCCACATGTTCGAAAATCGTGTCCTCCAATCGGGTCCTCCCGCCGGCGGGGCTGCTACTGTGCTCTCGTGTTTTCAACTTTTCCTACAGAGGGCCCTTTCAGGGCCGGTCCGGTTGGGGTACCTGTTCGCAAAAAACATCACAATATTTTTCCGGGGTACCCCAGGCCCAGGAAAACGGCCTGGGGACCGCAATTTTTTTTTTTTTTTTTTTTTTTGAAATCGGGGTCCAACCGGACTCTCCGAAGCGAACACCGGACCCAGACACCGGACACCGGACTGTCTGGATCGGGATCCGGACGTCCGGTTGGCAACGATGATATTTTCCCCACACCCACCAGAATTTGCTGTCGTCAATCCCCGACTTCCGTTTGCATCTCCGATAGTCGATCAAGAGGGCTACCCGCAGGTTCTCCAGCGCCCTGCCTCTTATAGCCTGCATTGAGACCTCCTTCCCCTGTCCGATTGTTTCGTTGTTTTTGTTGGGGGGTTTTGAAAGAATTCAAAATTCAAATCCTTTCGGATGCAAAATGTGACAGGCTCCCCTACATAAAGAAATCAATAATAATAAAAGATGCAATGAACCCAGTCAGATAGAGAGCTCGTCAATGTCGGAACACAAAATGTCTTAGCGTAGTTTCCATGTCTCTGAAATTGTACATGTAATCAAGTAGCCCAGTGTCCCCCACTCCTCCTTCGTGCACCCCCTGATGGCCACATCAGCAGACAGTCTCCTCTGACACGCTCTGACAATGAACAGATCTCATCATGGCGCACGCGGCACAGATTCCTTTGAAGACGAACAGCAATGCGCAATGTCGACACGAACGCAGACGGGTAAGCTTTCCTTACGATCAACCAATCACAGAGCCCTGATCCTCCTCCCCCTCGCCAACGTCCCATCCATGTCATAGACAATGTGGCGAGAGCCACATCAGCATAATCAAGTGTCCAGCAGGCGCCTTAGACAAAGAAAGCGCCAGCAGCCAAGCAGTAGCAGTCTGCCAGCGTCAAGCTTGCGTCAAGCTAACGTCTAGCCAGCGTCAAGCCAGCGTCAAGCCAGCGCCAAGCCAGCGTCCAGCCAGCGTCCAGCCAGCGTCAAGCCAGCGTCAAGAAGCATGTGCAAGACTGAATGTCGGTCAGCAGGGGCTGGGTCAACGTATAGTGTTGACTCCGGTTGACCAGCCTCTGGTCTCCCAGATACAATGGCCTAGATTGACTCGCAGCCAATGGCCTGGATCCCGTACAGTTGCAGATTCCCACTTGGACTTGATTCTTGACAGATACCTGCAAACACCGAAGTGTGTGTGTCTGATCGGCGGCCTGGACTGGGTCCATGTTGACTTTGACTCGTGAGCCTGCATTTCTGAGATTCTGTTGACATTTGACTTTCCACGGTCAACTGTAGCATGTTGGGCCTCTAAAGGGCAGTTTTAGGCACTGCATCAGGTACCCCACAGTAGCAGTTTCATGACTTGGGCGTGGCCATTGACCCCTATTCTGGCCCTGAGACCAAATGGCGACCCATGACCCACGACTATTGCATGATTTGAGCTGAGTTATTGCACTCAATCGGGGCCAATTTTGAGTTCCATTGGAGAAACTACTTAGTTAGGCTCGGTCCTCTTTTAACCAACTCTCATATGCAGCGACAATATTTGGTGCGTAGGTAGAAGTTTTTTTTTCTTAGTGAACCACCTTGATTCTGATATAGGTTGAGTTTTGGACTTTACCTTGTACTGCTTATGCGGTTTTCCCCTGCCAACTATGGAAAAGTATCCATGTTCCAATATTCGTTCAACTTCGTAACCTCCATTCGTAGAGGGAGGAAACATGGATGGCCGGTTGGAAAACTCGTGGCCTTCGACATATGGCAGCAGTTTGGAAGCATGAAAGACAGGATATGTCTTAAGGTGAGGGGGTACGTCAATGCGATATGACGGGTCGGCGGCGTCCCCTATCACCTTGAAAACTTCCCAGGGTCCATAGTAGACAGGTAGCAATTTATGAGACACATTCTTTTCAAGGGAAAATTCTTTAGACTTTACCCACCAAGCTAAGTCTCCTTCTTTGAACTAAGATGGTCGACGATGCTTATTTGCTTGTTCGATCATCTGAAGTTGGTTTTTTTGGACATTCTCCTTTACTCTAACTATGTTTTGTTTGTACATAATTGCAAATTCTCTTGTTCCTAGGGGTAGCCGTTGGACACGTTCCCTGGTCAAAGCATCAATGGGACGTCTCAACTTCCAACCTTTGTGAAGTGCGTTAGGTGTTCTTTCGGTAACGGTATGAACACTATTGTTTTATGCACTTGCTATTTTGGGTAAGTTATCATCCCAATCAATTTGATCTGGCCTAACATACATTCGCAAAAGTTGTTGGCACAATCTGTTCATTTGCTCAGTTTGTCAATTCATTTCAGGGTGTCTACCTGACGACATGGCCAGTCTTGTACCATAGGCTTCCCCTTAGCTTTTGCCATTGTAGGCCTGTGAATCGTGCATCCCTATCAGATATGATGGTTTTCGGAAATCCATACTCGGAAACCCATCGCATCTGGAACTTTTGGATAATGAGTTTCGTGCAGCTTCTGATGGTAAAGGAATGAGCATTGCATACTTAGAGAATCTGTCAACAATGACCTTTACCTGATTATTCCCATGTCGACTCTTGGTGAGACTCATGAAGTCAATCGAGATGGACTCACCTGGTTCACTTGGAATAGGTAGTGGTCGTAGTAGTGCCAAGGGATTCTCATTAGAGGACTTGTTCCTTTGGCAAACAAGACAAGTTCACACATAGGTTAGTACATCCTGTTTCATTCCTTTCCATTCAAAAAACTCTCTCACATTAGCATACGTCTTCTTAAACCCGAAGTGACCCTTAGTATCATGACATTCCCCAATAACCGTACTTTTGATGTCTTCTCTATGGGGAATACAAATTATTTCTTCGATTTGATCGGTAAAGAAGAGAAAGTCATCATTCATGCGATACTCAGGAAAGAGTTCAGGATTCTTCTGAAGGGTTTGGATGGTAGGACTCCAGATCGGGTCCCCGACATACCCTTTACGAATTCGGTCCTTCAACTCATTCCCGATGTCAAGGTAGGTAACGATGGTACCAAAGAAATCAGAACGCCTGGACAAAGCATCAACAACAACGTTAGACTTTCCTTTGGCAGTTTTCAACTCATAGTCAAATGTGTTGATGAATGCAGACCATCTTACTAACTTGTTGAAGAGTCGTGGTTGAGTCTTGATCCACTTCAGGGTTGAGTGATCTGAGTAAATCGTGAAGTGTCGTCCAAGCAAGTAGTATTTCCAAGTGTTCAGTGCTTCCACGAAGGCATACAATTCCCTTTCGTAGGTGGAGTTAGCTACCTTATTAGATGGAAGGCGTTTAGACATGAGCTCGATAGGTCTATAGCTTTTACCGTTATCCTGTTGTA